GGACACACATGAAAAATGAACGTGTTTCTGCGTTGCTAGGCTGTGCTTTTAGCAAAGCAAAAGGTGGCATTTCACAGCATAGAGGAGTGGCCGTGGATTTCCAATTGTCAGTGTTACAGAAACAAATTGTAGAATGCCTGCCTCAGTTTAACACAGTAACAGGCAACCTAGGCACGCGACTGGGCTGCATGAGTGGCCCTTCCATTTCGGTGGGCTGCAAGACCGTCGTAACCAGGACGGTCTCTGCCTTTGGATAGGCTAGGGCAATTCTGCTAGTTGCACTTGCATGGCTAGAATTTGCAGGATGTGCCAACTGAGCCACAGCAGCGTGCTGATTGGCTGCAGAGTCACTCTCACTGTCGATGTTGTGTGCAATCAGCACCCACCTCACATCACATACACGTCGTTTCAGTAACACCAGTAGGAAAAAGCTATGTGGCTGGAAACCAGCCGAGTGGCACCCCTGCACATTAGCAACAGGAAATCAAGTGTCCTGTGGGCCAGACACAGAACCCTGATGGGCCACAGGCTGCCCACGGGCCACAGGCTGCCCACCCCGGTTTAAAAGCTTCTTTGCCGCGGTGCAGGAGGTTATCATGCTGCATCAGTGCTGCACATCTTATCCACCGGGATGTCCAGAGGAGGAGCTTCTAGGTCTTCTCTCCTTCCAGCTGCAATCACCAAGTCAGAAACCATTTCCCCTCCTCACTGCAATCCTGAGCACCTTCCTCATTACAGCTCCTTCACTGCCATGGGGGCTCAATGCTACTAGCCACTAGGGGCAGCAATACTGAGGGTATTTAATATATGTTCAGCTTTCCTTACTGAAATGTCAGTGAGAAACAAGGAGAGAGGCCACAAGCATTTGGTTAGCAAGCGTCCTCCACAGAACATCAGCAGGAGCTCCAGGGACCAGTTTGGGTGCTTAATTCACTGTGTCTTTTTGGAAGATAGTCTACCTTCAAGAGACACAGTGAATTAAGCACCCGGCTGGATGTCAGGACTCCAAGGCTGGATTCCCACCACCCAACGGCTCCCCACGTGCCCTTGGGCAGCTCACAACCTCAGTCTCCGTTACAGATGTGCACCCAGCTCAGTGTCACACAGAGAGTGGGCATGAAGTGTGAAGTGCTAGTTGCCCCATCAGGCAGTGGGCAGGAATTTGAGCTATCACAGCAATATGTGGGGTCTATAGAAACCATGAGGAATTTGCACCCTGGGTTTCACAAAGTCCTCAGCAAAGCTGAGCTGTTCCCAGGGTTTCTTGGCTCCCTGCCCTCGCTCAGGTGCGCCAGTTTAAACTGCCCCTGGAAGAGCCTTATGTCTCCCTTTGTTCCATTTTCTCATCCCGAGCTCAGTTCTGGACTCTTTGTGGTAACTGCAAACACTCTGGCTGGATAGCAACAGTCAATGCACAGAGCTGGTTCATGACAGACAGCACGTGGGCACCTACAATTCACTCCTCTATGCCACAGCATTGCTCGGTATCAATGCACAATTTATATAGTGAGATTGGTCCTCTGTCTGGAAGAGGGAAGAAATTTCTCTTGTACCCTTTGCTCAGCAATGATTAGGCAAGTACCTTCATTCATGCAGTTTTACAACCCTTCACTTACCAGTATAGTTTGCAGAATAGTTGTTTGGATCCAGGAATTTCTTTACCAGTTCACAATTGGACAGTATGTGATTGGTAGTGATGACATTGAGATAGTTCTGGAGTCCCTTCTGTCTTTCAGCAATGAATTCACGATCCATATTCCCAATCAACTTTTTGGGAGGAAGAGGTAGACTTAGAGCCGAGATCTTCAAAAGAGAGGAAAGAGAATATCAAATATTTCCTCTTCAAATGTCTTACAGAGGTAAATAACTGAGCCATAAACCACTAGCTCTATGCTGTTCTAAGCATCACGCAACATTAAAAGTGAATACAGGCAGTCCCCGGGTTACGTACAAGATAGGGACTGTAGGTTTGTTCTTAAGTTGAATTTGTATGTAAGTCGGAACTGGTACATATTGTAGGGGAAACTCTAGCCAAACATTTCTCCAGAGCTCAGTTTTATTCTCCCACACCTCACTTCCCTCAGCCCTTTATTCTCAAGCTGAAGTGTCTGCTGAGAAAAGCCGCTCCACGTCTCCCTGGTCGGCTGGGAGGGGTGCTAGCTTTGCGTCTCCCTGGTCTGCTGGGGGGAAGCAGCTAGTGCGGGGTTGCCTCACCCCGTTTGTAAGTAGGGATCTGATGTAAGTCGGATCCATGTAACCCGGGGACTGCCTGTATAAAATATACCATTTACAGAGATGAGACTGAAAACTGGGTCCTTTTAGAGCTTTTGTCTGTTCGGCAGCCTGTTGCTCAGGGGAGGGGGCAGCCTGTTGCTGGCAGGGGGGTGGGGGGGGGCAGCGGGCGTGGGGAGGCACTTTTCCTCTGCCCGGCAGCTCTGCGGGACCCCAGTCGGAGCCGGCCCGAGGAGGAGGAGGATCCTAGGACCCAGGTGAGCGAGCCCCGGGAATGCTGCTGCGCATGTGCGGGAGTTGCCTCACCCCGTTCGTATCTAGGGATCCGACATAAGTCGGATCCACGTAAGTCGGGGACTGCCTGTACACAGCAAGTCCGTATTGGCATTTTGATTAAACTTCTGCTTGTAAAGCACTGAAACCATCTGATATGTACTCTCACCTCAGAATGTGGAGATTTGTACATGTACAGCCACCAGAAGTGCCAGGAGATTTTAAAAACATACTAACAATAGGAGAATCAAGCTCTGCATTCCCTCCATCCCCAAGCAATTGGCAAATGAGACAGTTACAAAAATTATTTTCACACCATAACACAAACCAACAATGCACCCTTGTGTCTGTGCTTGACAAACTTTCTTCTCTCCTATTTAACCTGTGCACAGCAGCCCGCTCCACCCCCAGCCCTTAGAGCCTAGCAGCAACTGGAGCCCTGGACCCCTTTGAATGACCAGACCCTAGGGCAATTGCCCCCTTTACTCCCTCCCCCAGCGGAAGGCCTGCGTTTAGCACTCTACTGCCATAGTACTTATCCCTAAGGAATATCATGCAAGATCTTCTGAAAGCCAGGATCACTCTGACCATCAATACTGTTGTGAAATGTACATGCAAATTTCATGTGCAACTGGAGCCCTGGACCCCTTTGAATGACCAGACCCTAGGGCAATTGCCCCCTTTACTCCCTCCCCCAGCGGAAGGCCTGCGTTTAGCACTCTACTGCCATAGTACTTATCCCTAAGGAATATCATGCAAGATCTTCTGAAAGCCAGGATCACTCTGACCATCAATACTGTTGTGAAATGTACATGCAAATTTCATGTCAGAGGCTGCAGGCACACACAGGTGCACACAAAATCTACTCCTATGGGTCTGAACCAAGTCAGGTCTGACAAACAGGTTTCTATCAGACCAAAGGATGTATATTCACCGGTCTGCCTCAGCTTGCATGCGAATCACACACTGGCTCCTGCCCCCACTTCCAGGGAGCCGGCTGCCACCCCGCACTGCTGGCTCTGGATCAGAGCCTACAGTGCAGGGTGGCAGCCAGCTCCCTAGGAGGGAGCTGCAGGTGGAAGCTGACTTAAAAGCCAGCTCCCAAGGAGCTCGCTGCCACCGTGCTCTGCAGATGCATGGAACTGTGCAAGTGCTGGAGGAAATAATCACTTTGGAGAAAAGAGGAGGCGATGCCCTCACCCTTTCCCTGCTCCTATATATAAACCCCGGTTGCACCCACATCTGGAACACAGCGTGCAGAGGTAGTAACCTCATCTTAAAAAAGGTATCTTGGCAAAAGTACAGCAAGGAGGAGGGGTTTGGAACCGCTTCCGTAGGAGAAGAGATCAACAAGACTGGGATTTTTCAGTTTGGAAAAGAGACAGCCAAGGGGGGATATGAGAGAGGTCTATCAAATCATGACTGGTGAGGAGAAAGTAAATAAGGAAGTGTTATTTACTCTCTCATATGCACATGAACTAGGAGTCACCCAATGAAATTAACAAGCTGCAGGTTTAAAAACAAACAAAAAAAAGTTTCATGACGAGACACTGTCAACCTGTGGAACTCCTTGCCAGAAGATGCTATGAAGGCCAAGACTATAACAGAGGTAAAAAAAAGAACTAAATAATGGAGGAGAGAGTCATGAATGGCTATTAACCAGTATGGCAGGTTGCAAAAACATTTTAACCATGCTCTGAAGTTCCCTAATCCCCTGTAAGAAGCTGGGAATGGATCACTTGACTGCCTGTTCTGTTCATTCCCTGTTCTGACAGTGGTTGAAGCCTAGTCCCTAAGACAGGATACGGGGCTAAATGGACCCTTTGGTGTGATCGAGTATGGCCATTCCTATATTCTTATTCTGCAAGAGTAGTGACAAAAAGTTGGTAAGAAAATAAATAAATAAGGTTGTGTCTTAAGTTACAGGAATGCATGCAAAGCATCCTAACCACTTCCCACTTCCCCACATGCTCACCCTCCTACTTTGAGGAAAAACCATTTCTCTTGCAGACTAAACAACCACGCACACCAGTCTGAGAACCAGCACCAAGACTCAGACAAAATTTAAGAACTGCAGCAAAGCTTCTAAACAGGACACACGTCAGATTTCTGAAGGACAATCAGTATCACTGTCACAATAGGACTTGTCACTGCCCACTGAGAAGATGCTCTTGTTTAGGGCTTCCTGACCATTTTCTAAATTTCTCCACATGCTCCTGGAGAAAGTTTAGTTCCTTGATTCAGAAAAACAACATTTGACTATTTAAGGCTAGCCCTGTATTTTCACCTTGGACTTCTGCCGCCTCACCTGCCAAATCACAAGGGGGCCTGGGGTCATATTTACGAAATGCACCTTCGGGAGGCCCTGACCCTGCAAAGAGTTAGGCCTGTGTTTTAGGGCCTGAGGGAATACTTACTCCAGGCCCCAATTCAGCACTCACAGTTAATGCAGCCACTGCTGCCAATTGGATTTTTGCCCAAGGGCCAATCCTGTACCACTCTGGTTTGAAGATAAGAGTGTTCTTAGGAATCTGGGCTGATGAGCGGTCTAATTCAGAGCACCTTGTTACAGTAAGTCATTCGGTCCCCCTCACAGAGAATGGTCTGAGGAGTTCTCTGAATAAAATGGAGAGAACATGGACAGTTTCCACACCTCTACACTCAATCATCTCCAAGTAAAAAGACGACCTGTTGGGGTGTATTGCAAGAAGCTTTTCAGTCCAGTATGCTCAAGGAAAACCTGGGTTGGAATTTTTCAAACGCAGTTTGAAGAATTAGTCATAAGTCTCCTACTGCAATGGGACTAGCGTGATTACCTCCACTAGTCCAGCCAGCTTTGAAAAGCCCAGCACTCGCTAGCATTTAAGAGGTGTCGGGTAACAAGCCAGTACAGATAACACAAAAAGCCACAGCAGCCCAAGCTCAGCAAGATGCCCAGCGCACAATATCCTGACACGGCAGGCAATAAGCAGTGCAAGCATTAAGCAAGTCAGTAAAGAACATGGGTGGCTTACAGCTTTCAGTCTGCTAAAAGACTCAGTTCCCTTTCAGGAACATAGCAAAGATGTATCGGTAATTTCACTCTGAATGAACTTCCATCCCTACAGGAGGAGTTTGGTATCTTAAGGGTGTAAAATCTCATTTAATTTGTTAACTCCAGCTGGGCTGACCCAGCTAGGCCATGGGTTAACCAATAAGCATCACCCAATAAGCATGATGCTTACCAGTTAACCATTGACATATGGTTAATTGGTAAGCATCACGCTTATTGGGTATGTTTACACACACTCCAACAGGTTGTCTTTTTACTTCATGATGATTGAGTATAGGTGTGGAAACTGTCCATCCATGTATGATTGAGTATAGGTGTGGAAACTGTCTATCCATGTCTCCATTTTATCGAGAGAACTCCTCAGACCATTCTCTGAGGGGATCCAATGACGTTTTGCTCAGGTTGTAAACATCCCTACTGCATCTGAGATATTCAAGGGGTCTGCACCTCCATTCAAATGTTTCTAGGGATTCACAAATGAAGAGATTGAGAACCACAGGCCTAAGATCATTTTAGGGGCCCCTCTTTCCCAGTGTGTTTCCAGTTCTGTGTTGTGCCTCGTGTGGGGTAGGTTCTCACTCCTGCTAGCTTACAAGGAGTGGACAAGTCTGCTGCTAAGCATATTGTATTACTCTGATCCTTTCCCTCCCCTCTTCTGTTATTTACTAAAACCCAGCCTAAGAAAAAAAAGGAGTTGAACATGACATGAGCCCAAATGCTCTACTAAGACTGATCTACCTGGAGCATCTGCCTACCACCTCACAATAACATTTACAAATATTTCTACCAATCCCTCTGCCAAAAAATAAATAAATAGGTACAATTTTCCAAAAGCTTTATTCCTTCCCGCAAGCAATCTCTTTTCACCTCAGCTGTCCCCATAATGCAATTATTCAGCTGTAACGTGTTCTACAAAATTCTATCAGCTTTTTGCCAAGCAGGGGTATCAGATAGCAATTTTGCCACAAGCATGCTCCGTCTCTCCCTCCTAGGTATGTACATCAAAGAACAGTGACTACGAGACAACAGAGAGGATGAGGATGGAAAATCATAAGGTTTGCACATTCAGTAGAATTTTCCTTTCCTGCTCATCGGGGTTGTTTTTAAAGCTGCTCCATTCCCGCATATGCGCGCTCAGCTGAAAAAATGCTGGAATCCAGTCGCCTGCTGCTGAAGTCATGTTTGGGCTGAACACAGCTAACAGATGCCAAGATATACAGCCTAGCCATATACATATTATGCTGTATCAGTACACAAAGGCCCAATTTTGGATTCCGTACCCAGGCAAAGTTCCCAGTTAGGTCAAATGAAGACAGTGGGAGTTTTTCCTGATTAAGGAGTGCAGGATGGAGCTGTGTAAGACAAAGAAGAAAGGAAAGTTGGCCAGTAAAAGTAGTGATCATACAAAATTTTCAGTGAAAATTCAAAGCAGGCAGATAACCACAGAGAACTCAAGTAAGTTACACCTGCTTAAATGGCATCTCATTTTGGTCCAAAGTATAATCTTCTATCCTCTACTTGGTAATCCCTGCTTCTGAATGTCATTTTGCTCAGATTGTAAACAACAAGAATATACTTGTCCATTCTTGTTCACTAGACTTCAGGTTTTTAAAGCCAACAAGGAAATGAAAACCAGAAATCCAGTCTTAAGGATCTGCCATCACAGTACGTGTGATTTTTGGGGGGGAGGGGGGAGCCACAGAGAAAATTTATTCTTAAAAATACAAATAGTGTTCATTTCATATGTTGTTTCTCTGATGCTAAACGAAGACATCCCGGAACCACAAGCATCCTTCCTGTAAATGTTAGTCTCTGCTTGCCCTTCTCACACACACTTTGCCTTTTCCTATGCAAACTAAAAGAGACTACTGTCCTAAAAGGAAAGAAAAACAACCAACCAATTCAGTGCTTTACTGAGGAATCCTTTACAATAATACAGAAATCCATCACATGATAAGCAGCATCTGGAAGTGCTTTTAGAGGAAGACAATAATGAGACACATAACACTTCTATAATGAATTAAGGTCAGTATGTGCCTCCGTTTTCTAACGATCAAAGGAAGAAGGGGTAATAGGACACTAAACCAGAACAAGTCACATTACTGAACAGAAAGATTCAGTATCTGCCCATCTACTATCTTTAGATTTAAATTGGTCATACAGAGATTACAACCAACATTTCCCATGATAAAACCTAGACCATTTCAGCATTTCTCCGTCTTCAAAGATGTCAATTTTGTAATTTCACGATAAAATCCAAATCATTTCATTTTCTGCCCTGTAAGTTTGATGCTTTCTTTGTTCTCGTCATCGTTCTGTACAATGAAAGCAAATTATTTTAAATACAATAAAGAATAATATATTTAGGTATCAGTGGAAAAAAAAAATCTTACCTGCAAACTATTATTAAGCAAATCAAAGTCACTGTATCTTCTGACAATCTGCAAAACAAAGGAAGTACTGAAGCAACACATTATAGTCTATCTTGCAGGGTTTTGTGATAACTAAACTGCATGAGGGAAACAACCCCTACTTGGAATTTTGGTTTCATGAAGCTTCTCTTTACACTCCAGTCTATGAGTAAGCCAGCAAGACGAGAGGTAAGAGTTGCTCACTGTGATGTCTAATTTTGCAAGATTCATAGATCCCCAGGCCAGTAGGTACCATTGTGATCATCTAGTCTGTCCACCTGTATAGCACAGACCACAAAAGTCCCCCTGCTTCACCCCTGAAAAACCTTCTAGAAAATCCATCCAAACATCTCTGTTCTCTCTCAATTTAAAAACTGCCAATGACAAAGAATGCACCACAATGGTTAATATATTATTTCGGTGATTCATTACTTTGTTTAAAACATACACCTTGTTTTCCAGTCTGAATTGGTCTTCTTTAAGCTTCCAGGAAGACCACTTTCTAAGGCCAGGCCTATACTCACAGGGAACATCGAATGGAGATACGCAACTCGATACGCAACTCCAGATCGGTTAATTACGTAGCTGGAGTCAACAAACCTTGTTTCGCATTTCCCTGACATTCCCAGTGGCAGGCTGACAGGAGCGTTTACTCCAATGGGCTTCTATTACTGCTCATGAGAAGTAAGAGTACCGGCAGCCGGTGCAGGCACCCTCTGAGTTCAACTGAGCAGGTCTTTACGAGACTCGCTAAACTGAGCTCTGGAAGATAGATTGTGGCAGCAGGAAACTTCTATTTAACGTAGGCATGGCCTAACTAATATTCTACTGTAGCATCTTCGCTATCAGCGTTTGCAGACACCTTCTGATCTTCCCTATCAGAGAAGTTGAAAAATTTCATCTGACCTTCCCCAGAGTATCTATCAGGCAGCAGGGGGGGGCTCACCAGCTCGTCACAGGATATCATCATTATGGCCTATTTTTAATACAGCACAGCCTGGACAAAAGCGTGGCACCGCTACTAGTGGGAAGCTGGTTCTGGCAAACTATTCACACCTCAATTGAGTTTTTAAAAGCAGTTACCATCTACAAATACTTGCACACACAGGTGAGAGGAACACACTGCACAAATTATTCTGTGTGTGGCCTCGAACATCCACAATGGCAGAAGATATTGAGGCGTTCTCTAACAAGCCCAGCCACACTGTTCTAGTAAGGTGAAGGGGTCAGACAAAAATGTTCCTCTAACAATCACAACTGTGAAAAGTTCTGGAAACAAAGTTTATTCTGCTTCCAAAACGAAAGCAAAGAGTGGAAAGCATGATTTTATCTACTGAAGACCTAAATGAATAAATGAATAGGAAAGCATGCTGGAGAGAAGTATGTGTGAGATCAACAGGAGGACTTTGGCTTCTGTGACAATCCTGCCAGCCAACACAGAACAAAAGGAATGACTCCCCCGCCTTTACTCATGAAAATTGCCCACTGTTGTCTGTGGGACTACTTGTGTTTCTTGGGCTCTGTGTTTCTATCGGTGGTGCACATTCACGCATGTTTCGGGGCACATAAAAATATTTATTCTCCACATGGACAGAAAAGAGGAGAGGGAACATTGGTTAAGGCGAGGGGCTTGCCCCATTCAGCCCACAAAATGCTCCTGCTGGGGAGCAGGGGAAGCCCCTATCAGGACAGCCAGTTGGGAGGGATGGGGCTGCCAGCGGAAGGGGTGGGGAGAACCCCCACACACACTTATTCGGGCCAAGGTCCCGGCCAAAATGTCGTCTGCCTCTGCGCAGGAAGAGCTTTTTTAAGTGAACCAAACTTTAGAGAGAGATTACCTGCCAATTGTTTTCCATGGAAATCCCCCTCTGCACACGAATTATGTATTCCTAGAAATCAAAGGGGAAACAAAGGAGAAAACAAAACGATTAGAAACAGGAACTAGTGACTCACAAACAAGTGTGAATGCGCAGCCAGCCTGCTCTTCAATCGGACCCGGACGCGGGGAAAACCCTGACCTAGATTTAGATCCTCCCAGCTGGGAAGTGTTCTGGTCTGGGGTCTCTTGACCACACTTAGGGCTGTCAGCTCTCCATCCGCAGAGAAGCAAGCACCCTTGCCCTGCCCCCACACTTAATTCCAAGGTCTGTCCCTGCTCACTCCATCTTCCCCCCACCCCTCACACTCCTGGGGGTTCAGGCTCTCAGTTGAGACTGGGGATGAGGATTTGGGGGTGGGGAGGACGTGAGGACTGGGGCCAAGGGGTTTAGAGTGTGGGAGAGTCCAAGGCTGAGGGTAGGGAGTTCGGTGTGGGAGGGGATGCAGACTCCAGGGCAGCATTCATGTGCAGGAGGGGGTTGGGCTGCAAGATCCAGGCAGCTCAGGCTGGTGTGGTCTGCGGCCTCATCAGCTCTCCCTGGGCACTTCCCAGGCCTCAGAGGCCCCTGGCTGCCATGGACACATGGCTTGGCTGATGGACTGAAGACAAACGCA